CAGCAGGACAATTTACTATGACAAGGTACAGGCATTGAGAAGCATGTTAGTCCACCCGGGGTGGAGGACTTAGTTGGGGAAAAGAGGAGTGTTGGGGCAGGCTTAAGAGTAAGTAAGAGGGGGATTGTAATGATATACCATTGAATCTAAGGTGGATAAGGAGGGAACTGAAGAATGAGAATTAAGTAGAAGCTTTCAACAGATTGGAGGTTCTGATAAAGTAAAAAAGACAGTTATGGTGAAGTTCTTAAGCAGTCAAGCTAAAGGTTATCAGGCTGTAGTTGGACAGAGGGATGTTCGAACTACTGATTCATAACAAGATAGGGTTTCTAGTGACAAGGTCCAGGTTTTTGACTGGGATTGGGAGGCTGATGTAAGGGATGAGGCCTGCATGTTAAATGAGTTGTCCACAGTGACCCTGAATTTATCAAGATGGAAGATGGTTAGAGAAGAGAAAGTAAGACAAGGACCTGGATGCACATATTAGCAGATCATCTCTACAGAGGCGGTTAAATGGGCGGCAAAGTCTTACAAGTAAGCGACAGAGAAGCAAGGGTTTTTATAAGAGGTGACAGTATATGGCACCTTGCTCCCACTTTTGGAACCTGGGAAGCGAGAATACTAACCCATGTGAGGGAGCTCCAGGGGACGCAGCATCCTCAGAGAACAGAGAAAAGCTGATCTGGAAGCGGGAATCTCAGAGGAAGATCGGCTTGAAGGTAGGAGGTTGGGGAGGCGACCGAAGCAGCAGAAAACCCTGACACTCCTTGTCCTTTATTTACCTTCCTCCCAACCTACCGCCCGCCCACGCTACACCAACCTCCACAACTAGAAAACACTCAGAAAAGAGTGTAAGCAGACCGGCTCTTTTCAACTCCCCGCGGAAGTACTCACACCGGAACTCCTCCATGTCTGCGCTTCCCCATTGGCGGAAGCTTCCGCCAGCTTCTACTCACTTCCGCCCACGACTCAGTTGGGCGGGGCTTTCCCTAGAAGTCACTTCCGCCCGACCCCGCCCCTCGTTCCCTTTTTGGCCGTTTCCGGCCTCAGGCCCCGCCCCATACCGTGTGACCCCGCCCCCTTCCCTCCCCGGGCCGGCAACCCGGCCCCGCGGCGCCGCTTCCGGTGTGGGCCCCGCCCCGGCTGTGGCCCCCGGCTGCGGAGAAGTCCGAAACGCAGCTGCCGCGCCGGGGCCTGAGTGGCTGCCTCTTCTACCGCTGGCGGACCCGGAGCGCCCCGTACAGGTAAGCCGCGCGGTACCCAGCTCCCTCAGCCTTGGCGGGAGCGAGGGCTGTGGCAGGTGGAGGGGACGGCGTAGTAGGAGGAGAGGCAGGTGTGTAGGGGAAGACGTGAAGACGCGGGCCAGTGGAGCACGGGGGCCAAGGAGGAAAAGTGAGAGCGCTGGGAGGAGCCCGGAGGCGCCCTCGCCCATTAGGGTGATATGAGATAAAGGGATGGGAAGAGTGAGGGGCCCCTGGGAACTGAGAGGGCTAGAATAGGTGGGGTTGGGACAATCTAAGAAGAGCCGGCGGATTGGCTGGGAGGGCTCAGTAGAGGTAAAAGTGATAGAGTTGGGTTGTGGGGGTATAAAGAATGGCGGGGGGTGGAGGTGTGGGGGCTTAAAGGGGACTGAGGCCAGAGGGATCCGGCAGCGAAGGTAGAGGGAATGGTGGGCGAGGCCGGCTTCAAAGCTGCAAGGAGTCCGTTGCGCCGGGCTTAGAGGTTCGGGAACTTTAGGGGAAATGGGGGAGGGAGCCGTGTGAAAGGATGGAGTGGTTTAGATTTCTGAGACTCAAGTTTTCTAAAAGTAGGCAGGTGGTATTGTTGTTTGGATCAACTAGCTGCTTAGGGACAGGGGAAAGATAGGCTCTTTGCGGGAGGGTGTGTGTATCGAGTTGTAGAACTGAGTCATCTCAGTCTTAACTAAAGAGGCTGTGAGACACCACCCCCTCTGCTGGGGACAGCATACAGAGAAGATGGTGCCACAAGATGAGAAGCAGTTGTTCAATGACTGGCAGGACTTGCATGAAAAATTGTCCCGCTTATGATTGATTGATGTTATAATGTTGTAAGGAGAATTAAAATGACCACCGAATTATTTTCTTTATTCTTTGGTTTACTTTTCTTTGATGCAAATTGTTTTTATTTTAAATGAACACTTTTGGCAACTGGATTTAATGTGGGTGTAAATCTTTTCATGCTTTGTTACACTATAAAAAGGGCTATAGCAGAATGAAAGTGTTGCTTCTGGCATAACTCACACTTTCTAAAGTGCCAAGAGAGGAAGTAAAGGGAGTAAGAGGCAAATTGGAATTTGAATCTTTCACAGAATGCAAAAGACAAAAGCAGTGCTTCTAAGATTAAACAGAAAATGAGAATTTTAAAATTTCTACTTTTTTGCCTAACTTTAAAAGTCGTACCTTTTTTCTCTAACCCAGTTTTTAAAAAATGCCTAAATCCAAACAGTTTTTATTGCTAGGAGTGTGATTACTTCCCCATGAATTTTTGAAGATACCTAGATATTTAAGTTTTGGGTTTTTTTTTTTTTAAATCTTTCTACCTAGTCCTAAAACAGTGGAACAACGCAAATATCAAGTCCCAACCTGTGCAGTGCAGCTTCTTCTTTCATGTGATGGCAACATTGTACGCCATGTTGCAAGTCCTGTTAACCTAAAATTTGCCCATGCATAGTAATCCATTCAGTTATGGAGACTTGCTGAGGAAGCATAACTCAAGTGAGGTTTGCTGGGGATGGGGACCTGGAAAGGAGGAAGGGAAGGGGGGTTGGTTAGAGGAGGAGAGGGTGTGAAAGGGGTGTGTGTTTGGAGACTGATTGGTAAGAATGCTGATAAACCTGCCCCCAGAATACTTTTGGCCTGAAAGCCTTTTCTTTTTGTATTCGTCATAGAATGTCATAGAAGTGAATCAGAAAGAAAGGGGATGTGAAGAGATTTACTAGGCTGTTTATAAAAAAGAAGCTTTGCCTCGTTTACACAGTATTGATACCTGTTTCCAATTAATTACCTTAAAAATCTCCAGAGGAATTCCCCCCTGTTTGTTTTTTGAGTGCCCATTGCAATTTGAAACTCTTGCCTCCTTTCGTGTTTCTTTCTCTCATGTTGTTGAAATTGGATTCTTTTTGAGGCTATAATGTCTGGTTAGCATTGGCTCAGCCCACTCAAAAAGCGGGCTTGGCAGTTTGATCTGGGAAATTTTAAAAGTTTAAACCTAAGAGCAGTTTGCTAGGTTCTGCTTTTCTATGAGAGAAATCTTGCCGTCTGCCTGATAGCTCTGTGTCTTGCTTAGATGGTAATACCTTTCTCTGATGGGGCTGGGAACCTAAGCAATATTCTCTTTCTTGTAGGCAGGCCCTTCTTTCCCTTTTTTTTAATTATGGTTTTCATACTCGCAACCTCTGTACAGTGTAAACCCAGTTGCTTTTTCAGTGATAAACAGATTAATGTTTGATAATGTTGAGGAAGAGAGATCAGAACACAGATGTTTGCAGACTCAATGTCATCTGGATTTACTTCGTTTTAAACGCACAGTAGTCCACCGCAGCTGAGATTCATCCTGTATTTCTCCTCTTAAATCCTGTTCCTCTTCTGCATACTTTTCCTTACCCAACTCCCACCACCCCCTACCCTGCCCTACCCCCACCTCAAACTCCCACCACTTACTCATCTTAAAACTCAGGTTTACGGGCATATGTTTAATGCTCAGAACTCATACCCTTTACTGGAGAAAAGAAAACCTTTTTATACCTGCTTTACATTGTTGGTTTTTTTTCCCTTTTTCTTTTCTCCTTCTTTGTGGTTTCTATTAATCACTTAGAGGTTTACACCCAGTGTGCCTGCCGGGCTGTGCCCAGGTTCAGAGCCATGCCAATCGGTGGGTGAAGCTTGAGGCAGTGATGGAGCCACTGCAGCCTCAGCAGAAGCAGCAGCCGCCACAGCAGCAGCCACCGCCGCCGCCACAGCCACCACACCTGGCTCCTCTGCAGATGGATGCCAGAGAGAAGCAGGGTCAGCAGATGAGAGAAACCCCGTTCTTGTATGCCCAGAAGCTGGTCACACAGCAGACTCACCTTTCTGCCACACCTGGGAGGCCTTCTGGCAGCCCTGCCCTGGGTCCCTTAGCCAGAGTTCCACCAGCCCCAGCAGTGGCCCGAGTGTTTGAACGGAGCAAGGTGAACTCAGAGCCTGAGGAAGAGGAAGGAGGTTTGGAAGATGAGGATGGGGATGATGAAGTTGCAGAGGTGGCTGAGAAAGAGACCCAGGCTGCTTCAAAATATTTTCACGTGCAGAAGGTGGCTCGCCAAGACCCCAGAGCCGCACCCGTATCTGGTCTGCTTCCAGCGCCAGGGCTCCCACCACATGGACAGCAAGCTAAAGAAGACCATACCAAAGATGCTCCTAAGGCCTCAGCTTCAGTCTCCACAGCAGGGCAGCCGGGCTGGAATCCGGATGAGCAGCTCAAGCAGGTCAGTCTTTCTGGTATGGGGGCATTATTTGTTCTCCCTAAAGGCTAGCCAGAGAGAGGTACTGGACTGCCAGGATCTGTGCCAGTCTGTGCCTTCTCAGCCTACTTCAGTGACCAGCAGCCTAGACGTGAATAGACTGAGTTTTTTCCTCATAGTTGTTTTCTTGATGAGAGCAGTGTAATGTGTACGTTACTCCTAATATAGATTGTTCCAAGTTTAATATGAAAGACTAACTACAGTCTTTTTTCTTTAAAGGAAGAATGAGGTTGCAACAGTGTTATGAGGGATATCTAAAAATGAGATGTGTGGCTCTAATTTCAGTTTTTCTAGTAGTAGTTTGATAAGAGAACAGTCTTGCCTAACACAGTGTCTTAGCTCCAGGCTAACCCAGGATCATGCTTTTTAAGGTCAGTTTTGTTGTTTTGCTCCTAAACATAACTGATGAGAACCTTTTGCATTGTGTATATTTTCCAGCAAAGAGCCTTTAGACATGATTTCATTTCATCCTTATATCACCTCCTTTGAAACAGGGCAGGGTAGACCTCACAATTCCCTTTCTATTTTTTTACTTTTTTTTTTGCTGTGCTGTGCCGCTTGCAGGATCTTAGTTCCCTGACCAGGGATTGAACCCAGGCCATGGCAGTGAAAGTGTGGACGCCTAGACCTCCAGGGAATCCCTCACAATTCCCTTTTGAGCCAAGGCAAGCTTCAGTGATTCCCAAACATGGCAGAGCATCAGAGTCATCTAGGGAGTTTTTAAAAATATAGATTCCAGGGTCCTAATGAATTATTCTAGGGGGTAGAGCCTAAGGAATCTGTGCTCTTTGCCTTCTAATTCTTCTTGTGTTTCTGACTTGCCATGCCACTTTTCTTCACCTAAAGAATGGGACTGATGATCAGTTCTTCCAAGCTAAGTGACTTGTTGGTGATTACGCAGGGAGTTCATAATAAAGCCGGTAATATTTGGGTACTCCCCATAAGCACATACACTCCATGTGGTCCAGTGGTGCTGTTTAGAAATTAGTTGTGAAGGGCTGTGGGTTTACACAGGGCATCCAAGAAGTCATATGAGAAAGGTCCTTTGCAAACTGAAAACTCAGCATCTTTCTATCAAGGCGCCCTGCCTATGCAGTTGATCTGAGTTTCACAGTAGCAGTGTTTGTAGTAGATCCCAGAGCCAGCAAAGTGGGGTTCAAATCCCATCTCTTCCATCTATTACCCTTGTGATCCTTTGGTAGGGCTCAATTCCTTTGAGCCCTCTGTGAAATCAAGATAACGAAGCCTACTTCCAAGGATGTTGTTAGGATTAACAGAACCAGCATGTGGTGGGTAGTAGTGCTCCAGGTGCTCTTTCGTGCAAACAGTGCCATCCTCTGCTGCATCCACACAGACATGCTCAGAAGCAAGGGAGATGCTGAGATGCACAGAGGTTCTCCCTCAGATCACCAGGGAGGTAGTGGCAGAGCTCGGACTAGGATCAGAGAATGCCAGCTTCCCCGACAGCAGCAGCCTGGCCGCCAGCCCAGACCCGCCTCCCGGCTGATTGCTTTGGTTTAGCAAAACATCTGTGACTTGCCGGCAGCCCCCGCACTGCTGTGTGGTTGGCAGAGTTCCATGCTGGCCGCTGAGTCAGCTCCTAGTGGGATCCCGCCCTGACAGCACTGGGAAAGTTCAGGCCCGAGGTGGCTGGGCTGCCCCTGCCTTGGCAGCTGGCCAGCCTCTGCGTGTGTGCGGTCGTTCCTAGAAAGTACAGCCTCGTGCGAGGAACAAGTGGAGCTCCAGAGCCTGTCTGTCTTCAGGAAGTGCAGCAGGTGTTGAGGTCAAGCCATTAGAGCTTTGAAAAAAGACACTCTGCAGAAGTGGCGTGTGTGTGCACACACGTGTGCGCCATGCAGGCACCCAACACTGGTTCTAGACAGCATCTGCCCCGTGGCTACACAGCTCAGTGCTTGGGAGGCTGGCTTTTGGCTTCTGAAACCCTTTGAGTTCATTTTAAGTTTCCGAGGCATACTCACTAATTATAGACTGCTTGGCAGAGCACCTGCCAGAATGTTTTTAAATGCCAGCGTAGCTGAGGCCTAATCTCGCACCCTAAATTTACCCTCCCCCTGGATTTGGAGATCAAGAGCTGGGTTAGGGGGTCACTGGGTAACGATGACTTTAAACCTTAGATGTGTACCTTCTTTTCTCCTTTTGAATTTAATTTTTCAAGATTGATTTGGTCTGTGCCCTCCTCCTTTATCTAATCCTTCTCCTAACAGTGGTAAATAATGTGCTTGGGGATTTTTAAAATGTTTTAGTTGTGCTTTGGAAGGGGGACTAAAAAAATATATATATCCTAACGGAGAGCCTTTAGAAACTACTACAAACTGTGAGACTAGTTTTTCTTAAAAATTATTCAGAGTCTTTCGTTTCTTATGCATTTAACTTCCAGAGAGCGGAAAAAGATCTTATTAATGGGTGACGGTGTCCATTTTGTTCTTTTACATAACAAACTTTTATAGAGGCTTCTTTAGGCTAGGCCTCTGCTCCAGGGGCTAAGGCATATGCTTCTCCCTTGAAGAGCTCACCAGCTAGGTTTAGCAGAGGCAGTGTGGGAACTCAAGGGGGATTGAGTCTTGGGTTGCAACAATTTTACTCTGTCCTGACTCAGTTAAAGCCCAACTGTCCAGTCTGAGCTATGCTGCAGATATTTTAAAACAGAGTTTTGTTTCAGATATTCATACACCAAGATAAAGTTGATTTTGTCTACAGCATAGCTAACATAGCTTGGTAAATCAACAGAAATACTCAAAAGTATTTACAAGATTTGGGGCTGGTGTGGGGGCCGCAGCAGGCATCTGCCAACTGCAAAGCAAAATTTGGAACGCTTAAGGGCTCCACAGATTTTTTTTTTTTTTTTTTGCGTGACGCGGCCCTTTCACTGCTGTGGCCTCTCCCATTGCGGAGCACAGGCTCCGGACGCGCAGGCCCAGCGGCCATGGCTCACGGGCCCAGCCACTCCACGGCACGTGGGATCTTCCCGGACCGGGTCACGAACGTGCGTCCCCTGCGTTGGCAGACGGACTCTCAACCACTGTGCCACCAGGGAAGCCCCACAGATTATCTTTTGTTTCTGAAATCACATTCTTATAACATATAAAGTCAAAATTATTTCATGTTTTCTCCTTGAAGAAACTCTTAGAAAGTAATTTGCTTCTCAAGGCCTGGATTGTTAGAAAGAGTTGTGGCATCCTCTGACACCAGAGCGATGGGAAGATGGATAATGCCATTGAGCCAAGCTTCTAAAACCCATCAGATTTCGATGGGCAGAGTAAATAATTGTAAAACAAGACAACAGAGAGCTGAGTGTCCCTTCTCTCAAGGGAGATCAGTAGAAGCCTGTCAACATACAAACAGCTAGGGGTGTTGCTGGCCTGTTAGGGCTGGTCTTCTGTCCTGGAAAGAGAGCAGTTCAGGCAGTGCAGGCTTTGTCTGTCTTGAGCCCATTAATGGAGCCAGTTTTCCAGAAGGGCATAGACTTCTTCCCATAGGATAGGAAGGAAGATGAATGATGGCTTAATGGGCATATGAGAGCCAGAGAGTGTGTCTGATTTTCTGTATATGTTGGCAGTCTCTTGGATTACTGAGTGTGAGAAGGAGGAAGGTTGACTGACTGCTTGGTCTCCAGAATCCATTACCAAGAGTTCCTCTAAGTAGTGAGGTGTGGTCTCTTGGGCTAGGCCTACTTTTCTGGGTACGTACTGCATGTCTTTGGAACATTTGATGCTTTTAGTAAAGATTGTGCAGACTGTTAACCTGAAAATAAATAAGATCATGAGCTTTCTCCACTTTCTTTGTAGGTCTACTTTGCATGGCCTTAGCTCCGATATTCATAGTGGAATCCATCTAGATCAGTGTTTCTCAATTAGAGGTGATCTCCCCAGCTCCTCCTTCTCCCAAGGGATGTTTGGCAAAGTCAAGAGATATGTTTAGTTGTCATGACTGGGGCAGGTGGAGCTGTGCTGCTGACATCGCGTGGGTGGAGGCCAGGGATACTACTAAACGTCCTGCAATGCACAGGACAGTCCCCCACACAAAGAATTATCTGGCCCCCAAATGTCAATAGCGCCAAGGTTGAGAAACCCTGCTTTAGACTGTGTAATTAGAACGAGAACATATGCTGTGCTTTCAGACACTGCCCTAGACTCTTCCTTTGTGTTTTGGTCCTGGTAACTGAAGTGTTTGGCAACCTTGAGTTTTCTTCACTTCTGTTTTCAGTATCCGTGTTGAGTTTGTGTCTTCTGTCATCATCTGGGTGAGGAGACTGTCCATCACTTGGGGGAGGATTGGGACCTAGAACTTGCACTCTCTTATTTGGCTCTGTCAGTGGTTCTTCAGCCTGGTGTTCTATGATATCTAAGATGTCAGTGGTGATTTGTGAGAGTGCTCGGTCGCCCTTCTAGACTTTACCCCCAAAAGGTCAAGGCATAAATACTCAGCAAACTTGGTATGTAGTAAAAGATGTAATTATTAAGTCAGCATTGGTTCTGGAGCCAAAAGATGTGGATTTAGATCCTAACTCCACCACTTGCTTGCTATAGTGCTTGGCACAGATGTCCTACCCTACCTTTCTGAACCCATGCATACATCTCTCCCAGAAGATGATAATCCTCTCTTGCCATCCTCAGGGAGCAATTTTAAAGATATTACAAAGATGGAAGAAGAAAATGAGTGTGAAAGATCTTTGTAAAATTTATACCATTAGGCAAAGATTAGGTTGAATTGTCATTAGCACCTAAATACTTTTTGAAGCTGTAATTTTTCAATTTTTACTATCTTTGTAGGGTAAGATGTTCCATAAATCTTAGTGCTCTAAAGCAACTCCTTTTCAAATTTTCTAGAATTGTGACCAAACTCTAGTATTCTAGGGTTCTCTGAAGCATTTCAGGATTATGTGAGTTAAAGCCATTGCATTCTTGAAGCTGCTTCTTTCCATATTAAAATAGGGATATTTCTCC